TCGTTCAAAGGGGTGCCTCTGATGGCTGGGATATTTTCAGTTCCAGTTCTTCGATCAGCGTGAGACGTAACAACAGTTCAGCCCTGTTTCATCCTTCCAGTAACCAAGCGGTATTAATCTGGAGCTGTGCTTGGGAACTTAGTGAGGTCTCGGAAATGCCTCCACTTTCTCTATGCTGGTCATCATGTCCAGAAGAGAGAGACCTGTATCCTATTCACCGATCGGTTTGCTTTCTCTCATTGCTCCCTTTCCTTTTCACTGGTCATAATGAGGTTCTTCCGTCTAGCTCATAACATTTTCTTCTTCTATTCATTAGGCGTGATTTTAAAACCCCTTTCACCTATCTTCACATTTCGTCATGGTTTGAAAAGGCTTCACCTAAGTGATCATAGATTTTGATCACCCATTCCACACTGCGAGTCCAAAGGACTGGGTTGATTCCAAGGTGTAATAAAAATCTTTATCCTAGTCTTTAACAAACGGAATGTTAATAATATAGCAATAAACGGTTACTGACCTTGTACACATAACAACTCAGTACAGCAATATAACCAGAGTGAAAGAATTTCCAGTGATTGATTGAGAGTGCAGAAGTAGAAGTTCATGCTCTATCCACTTTTGGTCTACACTAAATTGCCTGTAAGCACAGACGGAAATTCATTAGGACCTCGGTATGGTATTTGCTTTATCGTGATGATTCCTAAAGGAGGGCGCTTTCAATCAGATGAAGGTTTGAGCTTTTTAAAATCAATAAAAACAAATTAGTAATTCAACCAGCTATCAGAGCAACAAGATCATTGGCAAACGATCATATAGTATCATATTTGAAAAATTCCTTGAGCTTAGCGTCGCATTCAACGATATCGAATATAGTGAGCATCAGCATTGAGTTGACCAGTTCCAGCATCTGATGCTGAAAAAAAATTAACAGAGCATTGTACGCTTGGGTAGATTCAGCACCAAAAAACTCTGCTGTGGAATTAATGCGAGCTGTTTGTTCCCTATGATCCCTTGTAATTTTTTGCTGGCAGTGCTACCTCTGTTGGACAGAATTTCTGACGAGGATTTCTTAAGCTTGTCACCCGCGGTGTTCCGTCGTAGAGCCATCGATTCAGTCAAAACGGAGGTTTTTGAAATTTGTTGAGATATGATTGATTGTCTTGACTATGGTTGTTTCAATGACATTGATCAAATTGTTTCTAAGCAGTGCGTTTCATTGGTATACGTCCACCCACCATTTTAACAAAAACTGTTCTAAAAGTACACGCGCAATTTAGCAGCACATATAATCATATCCGTGACTCAAGAAAACGGTGAAGAACATCTTTTCAGAAACAAGATAAGTTCAACAGGGCAAATTTTAAACATTTTTCTGAATTCCGACCATTACATAATTTACTTCCCCCCCCCCTGATATATGACTCGAGAAAATTTTTTCTATTCAAACTTGGGTATATGTCCGCACTAAAATTGGAAGCGACATGTCTTCTTGCGATGCCGCCTGGTCTCGCGCCTCTGCAAAAGGGAAGACTCAGATTCGAGCTCTCCACGAGGCCGGACTCAGCAATCGACGCATTGTCCGGCAAATCGGCAGGATAGGAGAGAACCATCCTATTTCAGAAATTCTGAAGCCCACGACAACGGAGGTGCTCGGGGACGTCTTGGGATGTCTGCAAGTTGTCCAGCAAGTATGAACGAGAAACGTGGACAGCTTCGATCAGCACACGCAGCATCAGCCAGATTCGTGCAGACTTGAAACTTTCTGCGTCGAAAACGACCTTTTGGAGTCTATCAAGCTCAGTGGCCACATTGTGAGAGAAGTTATGAGGAAGCGCCACTTATAACTAACTCACAGAAGATGATTCGTCTCGATTTCGCACGAAAGAATGCAACCATCGATTGGAAACAGGTGCAGTAGTGAAGCTAAGCGTAGCCCGTAAAGCAATCTCAAGTACATAGTCTTCTCCGGAAAGAAGAAGTTCAACTTGGACGGACCCGATCGAGCAATATGTTATTGGCGTGATTTGAGGAAGGACCTAATGCAGTTCAGCAGGCGCAACTTCGGTGGCGGTTCCCTGGTCTGGGAAGCTTACTGCTGGGATAGCAAGCTGGAGCTCACATTTGTATCCTGTCGAATGGACTCGCAAGAGTACCGGCAAGTTTTGGAATCCAAATTATTGCCGTTTCTGAGTCGCAGGCAACGGCAAAGACTGGTCTTCTAGCAGGACTTTCTGTTTGAAAATGTGGCGCCAGAAGCTAAAAGTGAGAAGCACACGGACATACCAAAATGCCACTAGGAAGAACAACGGAGGGTGCATCGATATATCTTTACACATGCAATAACCATCGTAACTGTTCGAAAAAGCCCGAAAGAGCGATCTCACGTTTTGCATTCTTTCCATAGCTAGGTCTTATTTCACTTTTCACATAGAGTATAGCTCGAACTAGCTTGTCGAGCTGTACAAAGTGATGAACAGGAATTCCGGAAGAGCCTAATATCGAAGTCCTCATAAAGTTTCTGTGGGCACGTCATCAGCAACGACGCTCGCCATAATTGTAACCAGAAGGCATACGCTCCCATGAAATACTCAGTAAATGATGAGGTAGCTATTATGTTCCGAAACTGAACGAAATGTAGAAAACTGCCTAAAAATCTCAGTGCAAAATCAGCATCTCCGCTGAGACTGAAACCGAGCCGTCTCACAAAGATGGTTGGTTGGAGACGGTCAAGACATGTGAGTATAGGTGCCTCGTTTTCTCACAGAAGCAAACGTTCAAAGCCTATCCGATGCCAGCAGTAAGAATATTCCCCACCACTCAAGTCACGCGTCACTTTTGAAACAGATAGGCAGTGGACGAAACATAGGCAGATTTGCACAGTGGGTCCTGAGGTAACAAGCGTCGGATATGGAAGAATGCATAGAAGCCGCTGAACTCGTGCAGATCTATGCAGTTTCTATGGAACATTCATCGTGGTTAAAGAATTTCATGACCTGGTGTTACTTTCGCCTTTTACCTTTCTCTTATCACTAAAAAGAAAAGAGCATACTCTGCGCTCTCAACCAGGCATAATTAGCGTCACCGGTCTAAGCGGATGGAAGAATTTACACATACTTCTTTCTGTTTCCCTTATTCCAACCTAGTTGTCCCATAACAAGCGTAAAAGGATGAAACCTATTCTTAAGGAAGGTCACTTCGTCGCAGTATGAGACTTCTACCGCAGTAGATGGTTTGAAACACTGATCTCACAATCAGATTTGTGTTCCAAATCTGCTGAATGATCCTAGGAATAAAGTTTTGGAACCGAGCTTCGTCCACCCCTGACAGCAGGTACGCTGCTGTGTAACGGTGGTGCGGCTCGTACGATGGTGGACATCTTGTAGGGTGGCGGACCTATAAGCACGACATGACGATTCGATTCCTCGATGCTCGCGCTCGTTTTGCCTTCCCATGAGATGCGTTCTTAACGATTACGAAACATTTCTACGCTCAATATTAGTCGCCTAAGAAGCTCCCTCACGTTTTAGGCGTGCTGCAGATGTGTTTTGGAGGAAACCTTTCGCCCTTCAACGGCCGAATCAGAGCGAAGCCCAATCCGAACAAGGAAGAATCGCAGACCTGATCTTAGAATGGGGAAGACGTCAGAAGATTCATTGGAACAAAACGCTCTTCAGCATTTTATAATATTAGCAAAACACTCTGCCTGAAAGTGATGTTATGGTATTTGTTAATGGACTCTGGTTTCTGCAACATAGCATGAGCACCATCTAGGAAGGAACGGAAGATACTCAAGAGCTTCTCGACTACCCCTTTGATGCCATGTGAGCAATCTCGTTATCTTCGGCGAAGACGGGTTTGTGAAGGCGATCACAATACGACGACTGACCCCACAATAATCTTCTGCGATCGCTTGATGGAAACAACGACGACTGACCCCACATCGTGGTAGTGCCCTCAAACCATTTTGAAGAAGTTTTAAGACGAAGCTTGGCCTCCAACTTTGTGATTTTGCCCATGAGCCTTAACATTTAACACAAACATTAACAACATTATGTTGCATGTAGAACAGTGCATAGCCGTATACAGTTCAAATGCCAAAAGAAGCCGCGCCTACGCGCGCATGATAAACGAGCCTCGATCACGAGTGTCATCTGCGGAAATTAAGGGAAAGTAAGAGACGCTTTGGGTTTTCAAAATAGTTTATTTTCGAGAAATCATTATGTCTGATGTCTGGATTAATGTGCAGTGCAAAACGAGTGGATCGAACTGTTAACCTATGGAGATTAGCGGAGAAGTTGTAAGGATGAGTCATCTTAAAATGAGTATAGGAATCCATTGTACGATAGTTATTTCCACTGGACAACGCTGAAAACCAACAATGAGGCCCTATTGAGGACGAGTTCAAGAAAGCTGTGGTATCGCGTCCCACCGTCTGACCACGCTTACCTCAAGAAAGTTTCCCAACAATTTTCAACTTCTGTTTCACAATCTTTTTCAAAAATGTCAGTTAACTTGTATCAGCGCTTCGAGGAAGGGAACAGCATTTCTCGAATGTGACGGCAGTACTGGCAGTACAGTACTGGCTCCAAAACATGCTCTTATGGGATGAGGTCCTATCTATTCGGTCAGTGATGGTAAGGGCATTTTATTATTGGATTACTATTACACGAGCTCCTAGAATGTGGGAGAGTTGGTCAGCACTGCGGTGAGCGTAGGAAGCTTTTTCGAGCATTGAGGGCAAAGCAAAACGCGCGCATGCACCGGGGATTCTAACCTTCATATAATGCACACAGGTCCACCACCCTACCAGCTGCGCTACCATTGCGCAGGAACGCTCGTGCTTTGGTTATCTGCAATGACATAACACTGAATAGAATCAGATCCGTTACTTTGTTCCCAAACTCGTGAAGCAAATGTGGAACATAGATTTGGGATCAGTGTTCATAATCACCTAGGGCTATATATATCTCGTCTCAAATGGCCACTGGGACCAAGTATCCTTAACTTCTCAGAAAACCTACAAAAACGCAGGATATGAAAAGAATCAGATTGCCGACTCGTTCTGAGGGATCGTTGCCTCGTTTCTCACAAATGTCGAATAAACATTCGATAAGGAGATTTCGCTGTCTGTCACATATTCGTCGACCGCCTTCATCAAATTTATAATGACCTGGAACAGCTAGTTCAGCCTTAAGATTAGAATATGATATGAAATTATCGAAGAGTACTAACTGATGTGCCAACAGGTGAGTGCCTTCAAAATACAGAACTCTTCGAATTTTATGTCGAGCTCATGGAAAGGAACCACCAGAGTAGACCAGAGGGCGGCTTTCCACGGAACAATTGACCTTGAAGAAAAAATAGCTTGTTCAGGTAGCACAATGATCGCAGAAAACTTTACATCTTACTTATACTTGATTCGGTCCTCCTTGCTGCTGAATAGGTGCTGGGCCCACGGCTCGTCACCAGTCATTGGCATCGGATCGATGCAAATGTACTCACATGTGTTCAGTACTACCCATTTGTCCTCGAAGCCGAGATGGGTGGTAAAGTAGGCGGTGTTCATCAGCGAATCCACTCCGCATACATAACGGTATAGGACATTCTGAAAAAAGAAAGTCCAACGATTCCAATAGTGACAAAATGAGACAACGACCAGCTACTTTTTGAGATGCTTCCAATTCGTTGAAATCCATGAAACTGTGCGCGTAATCGTATAGCATGATGAAATCGGCTTTGTTCAATCCAACGTACTCCTTGTAATTCAACGGCTTCAGATGATGCTTTTCGAAAGGCTTAACAAGAAATCATCTCGTACAGAAGAAACGGATACAAAGAATAGAATTTTACAAGGTGCTCGGTGCAGAGTTTGTAACAAGGATCAGTTTTCTGTCATGAAACATCTCATAGAGATCAGAAAAAGTTTCTCGTGAAGCAGGATCCTATATCACTCACTTATTCGCAGGATGCCACTTATAGGTTCGAAGTTAGGTGACAAGCATAATAGTCGAAACGTTACAAGAATTTGAAGCCCGCGTTCAAATGTTTCACCTGCAGATAGCAGAGCCGACAAACAACGCTCAACTTCTCCAACAAGTGACTTTTGCCAACTTCGTTAATATTGCATTTTTGCGCTATTTTTACACCAAACTCTCACGGTATGCAAAAAGAGTGAAATTTCTTTTAAGGATTGTGCTCTTGGTAGGGTTATAAAGTGTGTACTATTGCTGTCGATGTGCGGAGCAGTTGAACACTTTTCTTTTGTCTTGGGCCCCAACGACACACGGTTCGCCATGTGTGTTGCTTCGATGTCTTCCTATAGACTCGATGATTTTCATACCCTAACACCCGTTATTCCTGCAACTTCCTATCGCTTCAAGCCGATCGAATGAAAGTTTTGTGTAAGGATGATCTGAAGACGACTCTCACACCCTTCCACATGGTGCAGCGACCACGGGCCCCCTCACCAAAGCCCTTCGGTTATATTGTATATGAATGGCCACCACGATATTGGAAGCAGTCTGACTTCGCCCTTTACGTAACTGAAAAGACACGGCCTTCACCTTTTGCGGAATTCCAAACCTCAAGTATACCGATATAATTGCTCCCAGTCACGCGAGCTATATTTCCTAAATGGCACCAAGATCCATTGAATGCTAAGTTTGCCTTTTGCTAGTGTGTTCGTGTTGTGTTGTTGCCTGTTTTGCTTAGATTCTGATTCAATTCAAGGATGTCCATACTACATTCGACACACAGGCATTTGCTTTCTCAACTTGGCATTTTCGCTTGCCCACACTGTTTTCCTTTTAACAACTCAGCTGACTAGGAGTCATAATTCTTTGTTATTTTGTTTTTCCCCAGGGAGTAGATCACCTCTATGCTCCTTCCATCAAACATTCACTGTTCGAGAAGAACTCGATCATATATGCAGAAAAGTGCTGTAAGTTCTCTTCCTTGTCATTCTTAACTATTTTTTATTCTTTTCCTTTGTGAATCGTCAACAGCGAAAGCAAATCGCACTACAGCAGAGTATTCACAGCAACTTTTCGCAATGTGCATATTACCTAAGGCTCCACCAAAAGTTCCATGAATGTGTCTACTGAAAGCATTCAACGAGGCACTCCAAACAAGAGAGAAAGTAAATGTGAACATAGCATACTTGAGGTATGAAGATAGAAAAGAGCGTTGAAAAGCTTAAAACAGTTCCCTGCTTTGAAAGAGTTCCCATTTGTATTTATCATCGTTAGCATCCCACTGTACCATCCGTATCTCACGGTTGATGTTCTTTTCGTTGCCATACTCTTGTTCTTGCGGAAAATATATACGTAGGTGATGTTTTGAACACCGTGTGCAACCAAAAACAATAAAATAAGAGAACATAGTGGAATCTTCTACCAATAGAGAGAAGAGACCTATCCTCTCGTGTATAGTCTGTAGGAAAGATGGAAGTGAAGGAAGCTCACGCATTTGCACAGCGTTGCGAAGACATCCATCATTTTCGCGTCCGTGTACATAATTTTCCGACGGTTGTTCAACATCGCTTCAATGAGCTGGTAGTGTTCGATGACACGCCGTCTTTCATCTCGCATCAAATCGATCACTAGAAATCACTTATGTCTCACTTGAACTGTGTCGTCTCATCTACCTACAAGCCGATACATGCGCTTAATCAAAAATTTTGCATTACCCCGCCAATTGGGCGCAGATTAGCTTCATCGACCTGCTAAGAACTCAAACAAGCTTGTAGGCCTCGCAAACTGCTGCTTACCTGATTAGGGCAAGCAATGTGACATCACCGGAAGTGGGATAATGGCCACAGATAGTAATGTTTACCACACTGATCCACCGATTCTTCCATCCCTCGAGGGCACCTTAATTGGTACCGGACTCGTCTGGGAGGAAGAATACACTAAGTTGAAAATCAACCACCTCCGTTTTTGAAGAGAAAATCGGACACGCAATCACGCGCTCCAAAAGCGCAGATATGATACTGACAGCGGGGCAAGTTCCAAAGTATTTCACCAATTAACGTTGCTTCGATGGTTCACTTATGACATCGAACGGGATGAAATCATACCTGTAGGAATTCTGAGCAACTCGCTGCTACTCGAGAAACCGTTGGGTTCAACCGATCTTGAATCTCCGACGTTTCGTTGTGGACTGATTGATCGATTTTCCACAACTATGGAGTCCTCATTCGAGGTTACGGAGGCTGTTTTGGCACCACGTGTTGATCGTACCACTGAATATAGATATACTACACATATAAAAACGAATATTTTCATCAAGTACCAGAAAATCCAAGGGTCTTGAAATGGTCAGGTTGTCTGGTACGTCTATGTATATTATGATGTTTCATCATACAATTGATTATTAATAGGTGTTCAAGTCGTTAAAACAATCTCATTGAGATCGAATTATAGACCTTTCTCAAGAAGCAACTTATCAATGCTCCTCAGTGTTTCGAGATTATTTTCCAGGATACCACCATTAATTGGCTAGGAGAATAATTTGGCAAGTATTTTTTGCAGTTTCTTCTCTACTCCCACCTCTCGACGAATTTTTGATGATGTTCCGCGATAAAAATCGCCCGATCTAGCACCAAAGAAGTTGCTGTGCTGGTTTTCAAGATCCAGAACATTACCAGTGTAACGTATCTCATGTTGTTTGACAAAAATAGAAAAAATTACAAAGGGTAACAAGGGCCGGAGAACAAGGAGGATGCTGAAGCACCTCTTGTGCAATCATATGAAGCGCGTCTTTGAAGACTTGTGCAATATGGGACCTACTATGTGGCTTGTGGTTAAGGAGTATATCTCGACCTTAACAATGACGTCTCTTCAGTGTTTTCGCCTCTTTCACTGTAGCTGAGCTACGCAGAACTCCTTGGTGGCTGCAGCATTCCTTTCGAGCACGTCACAGTATTCCATACCCATGTGTGTCTATTGGTCGATTTCAGAAGGACTTTCTTTGAGCAGCAAGTCGTCGAATTCAAAATCGCCATTTTTGAATTCCCCAGACCCCTCTCGTGCTGTAGACACTTTCTCGTCTGCCTCGCAAATGTCCCGAGTATCACTAATAGGTTTGTGGCCTCGATAAAAAACAAGAGCAGATGTCGAGGTTTTTTTCCTTTTTTTGGATATTCCATTTTCAGCATTTTAGAAATAAAAAGTAATTAAAAGCTGGACTACTGAAAGAAGAAGGATAACACAGCGTGAAAGATCAATGGAACGAATATTATACATTTTGACAAGTGGTAAAGGAATCACTGTAACTTAAAGAAAAGAAGAACTCCACGAACTCACACTCCAAACTATATATAGGCATACTTGTAAATGCATACTTACATTCCGGTTTCATGTGAGAAGCTATGCATTTGTCGAAACGGCACTTCTTGCAAGACATCCGTCTCTCTTAAATACGAATTTGAATAGCCGCGAGATGATGAAAAAATATCACAAATGTAGAGTCACGAAGCTTAATTCGTTACGAATAGACAACTCACCATAGTGAATTGTACAGGGTACAGGTTCTTTGCATTCAAAAGTAACTCCTAATGCTATAGTTCTACGAAAGAATGCAGCACATGCCTGCAAAACAATTTCATTCTAACCTCATCAAGAAGAATCAGTTTCTCAAATAATTTTGCACTAGTTGTATTACACAGCTAACATCGAGCCTCCTTCTTTTTGATCCTTCAGAAAGACTCGAAGTCCACTCGCGGAAGGCTCTTTCCTAACTCTAGCTGACTAATCCCTCGGGTACCGTTCACTAATCCTTCCGAAGCATAATTACAGCCATATAAGCGATCAGCCAGCAGTTGCCATGTCACCTCTTATCTACATAGATATTCGGCTATAAGTTGGATTTTTGGGAGGATGGTAGCCTTCTACTTCTCATACGGCTCGTCTTTATTCATGTGCGAGCACCAGCAGCTAACCGTTTGTTTCTTTCTTTCGCCATCGCCATCCATGACAGACTTAGAATTCGGCGACTATGGCGATGTGACGAATCGTTCAGCTGCATTGGCAGCTGTTTTATGTGTTCGACGAGCACATCTCCCCATCTTGCAACAGACCTAACCTTAGATCGGGAAGACCCTATGGGAGTCCACTCAACTGTTCTTTATGTCCATCTGTCATCGTTGTTCTCATGATGTGACCGGCCCACCGAAGTTAGGGGTTTTCGATGTATCCATCGCGAAGGCACGAACTTCTCCACATATCATAGCTGCGGAGTCCGGCTCGATATTGAGTGAGCCGGTTGAACCTCGAAACACATCGCTCGAGTGCTCTGTGACTTATGCTCAAAACCCTTCATGCAGTGGGTACCTAGGTCTCCGACCAGTAACAGAGCACAGAAAGAGCTGTGGGATCAAAGAGATTAGCGCGGAGTCCCGGATCAGCCAGATGGGGGGTGACGTCGTTCCGAGGTCCGAACGCCGTCCTCGCTGCTTTCTATCGTCTCACCAGTTCTTTCTTCATGTCGTTGTCCATATTCATGAAACGCCCGAGATAAACATAAGACGAGGCTCCTTGGTAGGTGTACCATCAATCTTAATTTGACATCCGTCGGCCCAAGCATTGTTCATGAACTGTGTCTAGTTTGTTTGATCCGCAGCCCTACCTTGTTTCCTGCCTTATTGAGTTCAACAACCATTGTCTCAGTTTCAGCAACACTACTTGAAAAGAGATCGTTCGCAAATCGGAGATTTGAGAGAAACCGGCAATTCACACGAACGCCCTTTTCCTCCCAGTCTAGTGACTTCACAGCCCACTGCAGTGCTGCCGTGAACAGCTTTGGGGGCTTCGGCGAAATAGTGTCGCCTTGTCTCACACCTTTTCCTACGGGAATGACGGAATGGCGTTAGAACAGCTTCACCTTCACGCTGCAGCGACTACTGCAGTCAGCTAGTGTTCTTACATGGGTAGGGTCCACCCCTTGATCGATTAATGCTGACAGGACCGCATTTGCTTCGACGCTATCAAAGCGACGCTTCTACATAGACAAAAAAGTAAGGACAAGAGGCATTCGGAGTTTCGGCTCACTTAGATGACCATTGCGACCATCGGATTTGGTCTAAGCAGCCGAAACCCTTCCGGAATCCGGCATGCTCTACAAGTTGAGCTTCACCCAACAATTCCGATATGTAGGTTGGAATGATCTTTGTGTATAGTTGGTAAAGTCATCCAACAAGTTCATTGGGAGGTGTTCGCGAAGTTCATTCCGGTCCCCCTTGTTGTGAAGATTGACTATCCGCGAGTTCCTCCACTGGTAGGGTATCTTCTACTTCCGAGGGTAAGATGTCATGTGCGTTGCGAGAAGCACACAAAGTTTGTAACAACCTGCACGGGGTAGGTCGGTTGAGAACATGTTTGGGTCGGGAGTAGTGCCCCTTTCCATGCTCGCAATCACAGCTCTCAAATCCGATTTAAGGACCTGTGGTGCTGTTCCGCCAGTTGGGATTTTTGGTTTTTGCACGTGTGTCGTGGATCAGTGAAGGTTGGTGTGAAACCTCTGTGTAATTTCTCCCATCTCTAATTTCGATATTATAAGCGTTCCTCTTTCTTCAAGCACGGAAGTGGAACTGTGGTCGCGAATATCCCAATTTCATTTTTTTCAGAATACATTGTTCTGTTTAAAGCTGTCTCCAGTAGTATGATCTCCCTTTATAGCTGTAGGTCTAATCGCACTGCTTGCCTGCAGCTAATATTTGCTCGTAGCCTTTCAAGCGTTTGGCGTTCTGGTCAAGCCTCAAGTTTCTTCTTGTTAAGAAGAGATCCTTTGTCGCATGTAGAATGCGGGCAGAGGCGTCCACTTGAGAAAGCTTAACCTGTTGAGCACAATTGAGAAGATAACGAACCAGTGTATCGTAGTCTTCGGTCGGGTCATCCCAGTCATATCGGGACAAAGCATCATTCGAAACATTGTACACGACATGCTTCGACCTCTTTGCGCGATGTTGAGTGGCTATTTCCATTTTGTGACTGAATCTAATCTTACCGCGAAGGAGTCGATGATCAAAACCATTGCAGGAAGATAGTACCACAGGTTGGTAGGAATTGTAAATTGTCGCCAGTTACTATAATTGGGTTGGCAAAATGTCGCTTAATTTTGAGTCTTAGTTTCTTGGCCGATACACAACCTCTCACAACAAAACGCTCTTTCAAAAAAAAACTTCTTCGAGCGCATATCACCTAATCACGGAACCCGCTGATAAGTTGTATTTCAAGCCAGTTGAAATTTTTGCTCGAAGATGGCTGACCAAAACTATGGTCTGCGGTCTGCATGTGGTAAGACTTCAAGCAAGGGAAATCAGCTGGAGAATAGCAACGTACCCTATCCGGAACATTCAGCAGTGATGTGCCATCTTCGAGGCAGTGTCAGCGATGGTTTCAGCGTTTCCGAAAGGGAATGACAGTTTGAGGGAAAGGAGTGTGAACATCGATCTAGTACTGTGGATAATGAAGAAGTGAAATCGGTAGTTGGGTTGGATCCTTTCCCTGCACGAGAACTTACCGAGGTTCGAGTGCTCATACAATACCATCAAAACGCATCTGCAGGCGATCAGAAAGTCTAACCGGTGCGCGAAATGGGGTTCCTCTTTAACTGGCCAATGCGAACAGGGCAGCGCGCACTACTACGGGAGGAGTTCTGCTCCATCATTTGAAGAGCAACACAGTTTTCAGCTCCATCCCTACGTCAGATGAAAAATGGATATTCTTCCATTAGCAGTAATAAAATGGCAGCGGCTGGCAGCTGGTGAGCGGCTGCGAGCGACTTCTAAACTGAATATTCGCGGAAACAAGATCATACTGTGTGTGTGCTAGAGCACGGTTAGTTTTCTTCAGGTGCTGGCTGGATGTGGGCCAGACAGTTACAGCTGAATTCTACATACAACAGCTGACTCGCGCTTCAAGCGCTCCGATGTCAAGAAGTCAATCCCGCCAATGTAAAATTCTTGCACGACAATTAAGACCGCACGGCGCTCATATCACACAACAGAAAATCGAGGAATTGGGCTGAGAGGTTCGCCTCACACACCACACATCCCCGATCTGGCGTCGTCTGACGTGGGTTCTGGTTGCTCCAAGATCCTTCGATTCGATGAACCCTTGTTTCAAGGTCTTCTTGGTCTGCTCGATCGAGGTTCTGGACGAACTTGTTCGTAACGGACTAGGTTGTCAGCAAGCCTCGGTTCTTTCGTCTCTTTGCTTCCTGGACCAGGACCAGAAACTTGCGGGACCCCTCATCTGTTTAAAGGCACCGTTCACAAAAAAGTTAGGGAACCCTTTTTTGACGGGAATTGATAGAACTACTCTAGAATAAAGCGATAACAACGAAAAAAGCGCAAAAAACGATGAACAAAAAGAGTTACAAGGAGTCAAAAAGAGCTGGAAAGGGGGTGGACGAGTTTCACATTGAAAGAACGGCGGTTAGAGNGTGTTCGGGCATTGCAATTCAGGGTGGGTCCTGACGCGATTACATGACACTGTGTCGTCTCTACATCTCGTCTGACGTGACATCGGTCAAGGGGCGGAGACGCGAACTACGACAACAACGGAGCTGCCACTATGCCCTGGACGTCGAGATTGGGGGAGTGAGAGGGTCCCTTCTACAACCCATGGGGGCCGCTGAGTATTAATAAGGTAAGAACTCAATAACTTTTTAATCGTGAACGGTGCCTTCAACAGGAGAGAACAACCTAATCGGCTTCACGGAAAAATGCCCGACTCTTCTCTCATTGACGTCTGCACATGCTAATCTATCTGCTTATCTCATCGCTGCTCTTACTCTAGAATTCTATCTTGTTTTTAATAGTTTTTTACCACTCTTTCTCACTTTTATAATTTCGGCTCCTTTTCTTCTTGGTGCTCCAACTTTTATCATTCTGGATTATAACCAGAACTTTCTCGATTTTACTGTGATGCACTTCCCTTTTTCCCTTGGCTATAGGCCAACTGCGACGCTCATTTCTTTTTTACCGTGTACTTGATGAGCAAACCTTTGAGGTGTATTTGAATAAATAAATAACTTATCAGAAAGACAACCAAAGAAGCGTGTCTCTACGACAAAAATAGTTCATCATTTTCTACACTTTTTGACCCTGTGTTGTCCGGTGGCATCAGAAATAAAGTGGCATTCGGGAAGAAGTGTTTCTCCCCAAATTCTCACGGCAAGCGGCAGTGAATCTTAGTATCCTCGCGCTGGGTCTTCCCTCTCTCAGATCTTTCCCTACATAGCGCGCAGATGAGATCGGATGCGGCGAATGCAACGAGAATTTTAAGGGAAGACCTACATCCGCGGATTTCCTGCATAGTTTAAAATGGGGCGAAGTTTCTCCTTGATAATCATTCCCGAGGAGAAATTCAGCACACCCAGCTCCATTGTCATCTGATGGAGCAGATGGAATTATGGATTATATACTAGAATCGACTCGAGAACAGACTGACTTACTGATACAATCCGAAAAAGAAATCATTCAAAAGTTCACTACGATTCTGAATGAAGTCGAATGGTAGCGCTCCCAAAATGAGGTTTACCGGAACTGAAAGGCTTAGGGACGGAGGCTCAGTTGACGTCTTGGAGACAGGACGCTTAGCTTTCATGAGCACGTTCCAATTCAAAATTACATCCCCTGCGCACGTTTGCGATAGAGCGCCCCTTCGCAAGGCACCATTTCTACTCGAAAGATGGGTATCCACTAAAGAAAGAAAGAGAAGTGCTGGTATTCATTGGTATAGTGTAGTAATGGTCACTGCACAGCTACAGTGTACCAAGCAAGACATTCTCTCACGATAGTTGAGCATACCTTCTCTAGACAGGTCAATCAGTGGTAGAAGTGATGCGGTGAGGATAGAACTGGGAAAAAGAACAAATTGAAAACTTTCATTTCTGTTGGTTAGTCGATGTGTGTTTTGCCGGAAATTCATAACTCATGTCCCCCTAAGGGATACAGGCGGTGGAATGGGATTACTGATGGTATGTAATAAGTGGTAACAATTGATAGGAGCTTATAAAGAGTCCTAGAAGGCATGAGTCGCAGGACTGTCACCTCCTTCGTGTTAACGGTGGAGCCCTGAGACTTTATGTAGGTAGTGTGAGTTTAGAAGGGACCGTACATGTTTGTTGATAGGGACTGATAAGAACTTGTACGGACTGATAACGAGCCATAAAGGCGAGAATCACTAAGTCTATATATAACGCCCTTCGTATTAACGGTGGAGCTTTGACACTTCAGTGGTTGGTGTGAGATGTGAAGGGACCATAGGTGATAGGCGACAAGATTGATAACATCTGATAGACTGATAACGAGCCAAAGAAAGCTTGGGGCGTGAGGCCTTTTGAATTAACAGTGAAACCTTAGCATTTTAATAAGTGATGCAGGACGTGACGGAATCATAGCTACTCGGTGATAGGAACTGATAACAACTGATAAGAGATAAGTGTTCAAGAGAGCAAGATCCACTTACCGAGCCAAATTTTAAGGTGAAGCGATAGGGACCAATCAGAAGCACTACGATGAACAGATGAGAATTTTGTTCATTTTCTGCTATTAGATTACGACTGCTACCCAGCAAGATTTGTCGCTCAGTGAAAGATCCTTTTTGGTCGACATCATTTGCGACAAAACTTAATCGCCAACAGTCTGGGATCCTCAACTAATGATATATCCAAAGAAAGACCTATTGATAATGATATCTGATAATATTGTTACCATCACTAGATTCATTTGTAAGTACCGCCCAATGCTTGCTAACGATTGAATCTTTTGAGCAATTTTTTAAGAAAGAGAGCAAAAGATCTAGACATCCAATCAAGAGCGTAAGCAGCGGCTAACACTGAATACTATTTGAACTGTCCTGTTAGTTCTGTGCCAAATTTCGTACCCAGAAAAGTATTATTTGTTTCAAGAAAGGAGTGGAGAATAAGCCGACTGCTACAACTTCGTTAAAGAAGGAGGAAAGCCTGGCGATAGCCGGGCGAACCGAATAGTCGAATGATTACTGATTTATATAGTCGACTCAGTTCATATAGATCGATCGACTCAGGTAAGCAGCGACTTCAGCCGACCATCCAACAAAGAGGGTGGGAGGTTTCAGGAATAGTGACGATATGAAGTCGAAACAGATAAGACCAGCAAAAACACAAGAGAGGATGGGAGATGTCGGACCTACAACTCACTTCACCGATTTCTACTGGAACTTCTTTTCCCCTTTACACTACTGTGTTAGCAGAGAAACAGAATAAATTAAAAAGGAAACCTTGCATGATCGTGCACCGAAATGGACTGATCTGGCCGTCGGTGATTCACATATAACGCACTGCTTACGGGATTTCATCTAAAATACCGCTTTGGTAATAAAGTCAGAAAAGTTGGAAGAACAAACAGACATCACGGCTTTCAATGAGACACTCAAAGTCTTCCAGTACTTCCTAACGAACCAGGCAAGAAGAAATTCATTGTGCTTCATAGTAGAAAGGAACACACAATGTGCAAAGATGCTATCAACTCAACATGTTGCCGGAGTTTCATTATCGTTGCCCTTGCAAGCTAAAAGGATGTGTCGCATAGTTGCTAAGCACATAATCCATCGACGCAGTGAATCCAAGCTTCTGTCAACGCTGAGTCCTTTATGGCATTTGTATTTAGCTAATTATAGCCAGATTGCACTATCACAATCAGGATCATACGATTCTCCCAGCTCATTACATCAAATTCTCAATCACCCTCGTTGGATATTCAACACTCTTCACTGCGTGGCGTTCAAGTCCCACCTCCAGGCGAAATGCCTTCCCAGACCCTGCTCGCATCGAGTTGAGTAACTTTGCACGCATTTTCATCTACAATAGCGATTCATGCATAATTCTGAGTTGCCGTTCCTCGTCCTATGTACTACATTACTTTGGCCTGATCACATGACCGACCTCGGCATTTTTCTTGGCGAAATTCATTTTTCAACATAACTAACTGCAGGC